GTTGTTAATATGGCGGACAGCATGGTTATTAAATGGAAAGATGCTCAGCTGGGGGGCGTGGGAGTGGCTATCGGTGCGCAGCAGGGGGGAAGGGGAAGCAGCGGGCAGGGGGGATCGATGGTAGAAAAATGGCAAAGACCGGGGACGGGAACTATTAAAGTAAACGTGGACGGTGCTTTAAATCAGGCTGAGAGAGTTCGTGCATGGGGATGGATTGCAAGGAATGATCAAGGGGAATTTATTAAAGCGCGTGGAGTTTCTGTTCGGGCTGAGTGGTCTGCCGAAGAAACAGAGGCTATGGGAATACGAGATGCTATTCAAGAAGCAGTGTTAATTAGCAGGCTGGCAAAGAGTTGTGATAGAAAGTGACGCACAAACAGTGGTGCAAGGTCTGAAAAGGCGAGGTGGAGGATCCTACTTGCAACTAATTATGGATGATATTTCTTTTTTTCTCGAGTCAAAGAGTGATTTTAAGGTCTCTTTTTGTAAAAGATCTGCGAACCATGTGGCTCATACATTAGCTAGAGCTCATGTCAGTTCACCGGGTCAATGTGTTGAGTATGATTTTATTCCTGACTGTATTACTAGCCGTTTGGCTAACGATCTTTTATATTAATATTACTGGGAGTTGATGATCAAAAAAAAAAAAAAACCCTTATGTGCTTAGCGGGTTTTGAACTCGAGGCCTCTCACTACGTACGATAATCTCACAAGTCACAACCAGCTGGGCTGGAATGCGATCAAACGGGAATACATCAAGCTAGACTTGTTTTGATAATATGAAACTATGGTAGGCTCGAGTATCCCTAGGCTATTCCAAATAAAAAGAGACTCGTGGAAAATTATGGTGATATGAAATTATGAAGGAAAAAGTTAAATATATACCCTATAGTATAGGTGTAAGGAACAAATATATTCTTGTTCTATTTTTCGAAATAATTAAATATACTCCTGAACTTTGGATAAGGTGCAAAAATATCCCTCATGTTTTTATAAAGGATCAAATTAATCCTTATTGACTTTAAGGTAATAAAATAAAGTTCCAAAAACACCAAAAAATTAAAAATTCAAAATTAAAATATAAAAAAATTAAAAAATTAAATATTTGGAGTATAAAATATTATTTCAAAATTTTACTATATATTTCAGATTCTTTCGAAAATGTGCTAACATATGAGTTGCACTGTAAAAAAATTATTTTTGCATTTTTTGCACTATAAAATTACATATTTTGTATGATGATAAATAGCCCAAAAATTAAAAAATAGTGAATTTATATACTAAAAATATTTAATTGTGATACAAAAACAAAAAGGGAGAATTGGACACGATTACATTTTTTAATTTTGTTACTCCTATACTATAGGGGTACATATATACTCCTATACTATGTAGGGGTATATATGTAGCAAATTATGAATGATGATTTTTCATTAATACCTTGCGGCCCTCAATCACTTAAACTAAAAACTTGCTGTCTTTTTACTTTGTGATTTTTAACAAGATGGCTAAGCTAGTAATAATACGGAGGAGCAGTATTTGAAAGTTAATGCTTGTTTCGGTGTTCATTTTAACTACGAGATAATACGGAGGAATTAGTCCATTTTTCACCAATCACGTAATTTTTGGATGATATGTGCGCACTGAATTTCCATCCTTTGCAATGGAGCCAAAGATTTATTATTTTTTTGCTTGAGAATATGATGGAATAAAGCAAAATGATTCACTAAACTGTCTGAGCTTCTTTCTTATGAAGCAGCAGTTAGTCCATGCAATTTTAGACGCGGTTTTCACTATGGGTCATCCGGAAACAGTCTCTTTGTGTTTTAGTACAAGGGTAAGACTGCGTACATCCGACCCCCCTTACCCCACCGTAGGTGGGGGAGTCTTTGCGGTATTGGGGTAAATGAAATGAAAATGAAATGTGTACACTGAATTGTGTAATGATCAAAATAAGTAAGGTTGAATTTACTTTTCTGTTAAATTATTGAAGTTATTGTGAAAGCGAAGAACATTTATTTATTTTTCATATTTTTTTATTTATTCTATTAATCAAATATATTTTAAATATAATTTTTTTCATAAATCAACATATTTATTCAATACGGTCACTTCAATCAAAATATCATAATTTTCAACTGAACCAACCGATTCAATTAATTTCAGTATTATCAAACAAGCTCGAAATGAACCAAAAGATAAATAGAGTTGGAAGATGTAATATTCACCGTAAAAATCAGAGATGTATTGATCGACTATAAATAGTCTATGTACACTTCGTATCCGATAACTATCATTCTATCAATCGGTTTATACAATTAATTGTAATGCGAAATACAAGATACGTAAAGCAACTAAACTACTTAGATAATATCGTACAACAATACTATAATAACAAGTGGCGTAATGGATAATATCAACAAGATACTTGTGCGGCTTTGGTGGGGAGTTTGGTACGTGCGCATGTATCATGCATGTTACCATGCATGTACATGTAAGTGTCATACTAGCAAATTAATATGCCTAACACTCCCCGGCAGTTTGAACGTGGGATGATTGAACGTTCAAGCTGGACCGAAATTCTTCAAATAATACACGTGGAAGGCCCTTGGTGAATATGTCGGCATATTGGTAGCGAGAGGGAACATGAAGAACACGGATATGGCCAAGAGCTACACGCTCACGAACAAAATGGATGTCCATTTCAATATGCTTGGTGCGTTGATGTTGGACCGGATTCTGAGACATGTAAATTGCACTTACATTGTCACAATAAACGAGTGATGCTTTGGAAATAGGGTGACGAAGCTCAAGAAGAAGATTCCGGAGCCAACATAACTCGGCCACAACGTTGGCCACACCGCGGTATTCGGCTTCGGCGCTTGAGCGGGAAATTGTAGTTTGCCTTTTGGAGGACCAGGAAATGAGGTTGTCACCCATAAATACACAGTATCCAGACGTGGACCGGCGGGTGTCGGGACACCCTCCCCAGTCGGCGTCACTATATGCGACCAAACCGGCAGCGGTAGTAGGTCGAAGATGAAGATCGTAGTTCAACGTGCCTTTGACGTATCTAAGAATACGTTTAAGGGCATCAAAGTGAGGAACCCGGGGGTCATGCATGTGAAGGCAGACTTGTTGGACGGCATAAGATATATCTGGGCGAGTAAATGTAAGGTATTGGAGTGCACCGGCAAGACTTCGGTAGAGAGTTGGGTCCGGGACTGGTGGGCCGTCTTCAGCACTTAGTTTGGAGCTAGTGTCCACGGGTGTGCAGGTGGGTTTACAGGACGTCATTCCTGCTCGGTGGAGGATTTCTGTGGCGTATTTGTGTTGAGATAACACAAGGCATCCAGGGAGGCGTGTAACAGCAATGCCAAGGAAAAACGTGAGTAGCCCCAAATCTTTAATAGAAAATTCAGTACCCAGTTGGGAAATAATGGTACGGAGTAGTGTGGGAGAAGATGCCGTGAGAACAATGTCGTCGACGTAGAGCAAGAGGTAGGCAGTAGCTCCGTTGTGATGGTAGATAAATAGAGAGTGGTCAACTTTGCTGTGGTGAAAACCCAATTTGGTAGCATGAGAGGCGAAACGGTGATACCAAGCGCGTGGAGCTTGTTTTAAACCATATAAAGATTTTTTAAGCAGGCAGACATCTGAGGGCCGTGACGGGTCCTTAAACCCGGGCGGCTGGTGCATGTAAACAGTCTCATCAAGAAACCCATGAAGGAAGGCATTGTTGACGTCAAGTTGATGAAGAGGCCAATTGTTGGAAAGAGCAATGCTGAGTACAGTGCGGATGGTAGCCGGTTTAACTACCGGGCTGAACGTGTCATCACAATCAATGCCCGGACGTTGAGACTTGCCGTTGACGACCAAGCGAGCTTTGTGTCGTTCAAGACTTCCGTCAGACCTATATTTGTGCTTAAATAACCACATGCACCGAATAACATTAGCATGAGAAGGACGGGGAACCAACTCCCACGTCTTATTATTAATAAGAGCCGTAAATTCGGAAATCATAGCCGATTTCCAATTTGGATCACGGAGGGCATCGACATGTGATTTGGGTAAGGGGGATGATAAGAGAGAGGTGGTATCATGAGAGTTGAGATTATATACGTACTTCGGTCGGAAAATGCCGGCCTTGCTACGTGTTGTCATTGGGTGAGTGGGTTGGTTGGTAGAAGTATCTGGAGGGGTTGGAATATGGGAGGCATTGGCAGTAGGTTGTTTTGAGATAGTGGGTGGATGAGATAAGGGAGATATTGGAGATAAGGGAGCCGAATGTGGAACTGGAGGGGAATGGGGCATGTCAGGTGTGGGGCCGTGGGAGAATATGGGGGTGAGTTGAGATATGACATAGGGAGAAGGGGAGTCCTCGAGAAAATCATATGACGGTGCGGGTTGGGAGTTGGGTTGTTTAAAGGGATAATTAGACTCATCAAAAATAACATGGCGAGAGATATATATGCGGCCGGTGGTTAAGTCAAGACATTTGTACCCTTTGTGTTGAGACGGAAATCCCAAAAAGACACACGGAATAGTACGGGCAGCAAGTTTGTGAAGGGTGGGAATATGGGGGTAACACAAACAACCAAAAATACGTAAGTGAGAGTAAGATGGTTGTTTGTGATATAAGGCGAGTGTGGGTGATGTATAGGAGAGGGACTTGGAGGGAAGAATGTTATGTAAATAAGTGGCCATAAGTACTGCATGAGGCCATAAAGTGGGTGGAACGGATGCATGAAGGAGAAGTGTGCGGGTGATATTATTAATAGAACGGATTTTCCTTTCGGCTTTGCCATTTTGTGGGGAGGTGTAGGGGCAGGAGAAGCGAAACGAAATGCCATAATTAGAGCAATAAGTGTGAAATAACGAGTTATTATATTCACGACCATTATCACACTGTAACGTTTTAATAGATAAGCCAAATTGATTCTGGACAAATGTATTAAAATGTTCGAATTTGGAGAATGCATCAGACTTTTGAGAAAGGGGGTAAATCCAAAGAAAGTTGGTAAAGTCATCAAGAAATAAAATATAATACCGGTGACCAGTGGAACTTAAAATAGGTGAAGTCCACAAATCACTGTGTACAATATCAAAAGGAGCATGTGTATAGGAATAAGATTGGGAAAATGACAATTTATTATGTTTCCCCATTTGACAAGAGGGACAAATAGCATCATATGCCTTATTACAATCAATGAAATTATTTTGGCTAAGACTACGAAAAATAGGAGCTCCGGGATGACCAAGCCGGTGATGCCATATGGTGGAGGAAAGGCCGGCGAAATTATGATGGGATGAAGAAGCATGACTGGGAGGCTGACACACCGGGTACAAATCGCCCTGACTGTTACACCTGAGGAGTGGGGTTCCTGTACGAAGATCCTTCACAGAAAAACCAAAAGGGTCAAATTCAATGGACACTTGGTTATCGTTAGTGAATTTTCGTACAGAAATTAAATTTTTAACAATATGAGGGGCATGCAAAACATGACGTAATTCAAGTGGGGAAAATGAAGAAGGTAAATAGGTGTGACCGTGACCCGTCACCGGAATGGATGAACCATTACCGACTATGATACTACCTTTAGGACCCGTATTAATAAAGGACGAAAGAGTACCTGCGTCCGAGGTCATGTGAGAAGTTGCCCCGGTGTCCATGTACCAATTGTCATCTGGGGGGTTGAGAGACATGGTATTCATAGAGGTCTGAAGATCCGTTGGCATAAAAGGTGGTGTGGGACCTGCAGGAAAGGGGTAGCCATACCCGGCAGTAAGTGCATGTGGCCTTGGACCCAATAGACCGGCAGAAGAAGACCGGGGCGGAGTATTGTGGGCAGTGGCAGTAGGGTATGGACATGGGGGTGTGGGCCAGAACTGTTGCATCCAAGCAGCCCAAGGAGGGATGGCCCATGGAGATCCTGGATGTGGCGGCCATGCGGACTGATCATGCGGCCGGAAACCAGACTGCCTTCCGCGACCTTTGCCGCGTCCAGAATTGCTTCGGCCTCCTCCGCGCGGACGGGGAGCAGGAGAAGGTGTAGGAGCAGATTGTGGGACGGTGGCAGCAAGGGCCGAAGCTGAGGGTGGCTCGTGCTCAATGCTATGTGCTTGTCGGCCTTCTTCTAGGAGAAGCATGGATCGGGCATTTTCGAACGATGGAAGAGGGACCGTTTGCTGGATCATGGAAGCAACCGTTGCAAATGGTGCGGTGAGCCCGTTGACCAGTCGCAAAATCAGCCGATTATGTTCAACCGGAGCACCGACGTTGGCAAGATTGGTGGCAATGGTGCGGAGCTGCTGGCAGTATGCTGAAATAGAGGCAAAATTGGCCAAACGAACGTGAGAGAATTCGTCCTCAAGATGCACTGCGCGAGCGTGCTTATTATCCTGAAAGATATTGGCCAATCGGGTCCATGCTTCCATGGCCGTAGAGTCCGGTTCAAGAATGTTAAGTAAGAGATCGGGGGAGATGGTGCCGTATATCCATTGGAGGACAACGGCGTCCAAGCGATCCCAGAGAAGAGGGTCAATGGAGTCGGTGGCACCGTCGGAGTCATCGTCGGTGTCATCATCCTTGCTGGCGGAAGTGGTGGTGGGTATTTTCTTCGGAGGGATGATGTGATCCAAAACATCGTAAGCACGGGCTGTAATCTTAAAGAGTTCTGCCCAAGAAGAATATTGGACTTTTTCGGTGTCAAGGATGAGGGGAATTAAGTTTTTGATAGAGGTAATCGCAAGAGCGGGATGAAAAGAGCTTTTGGAAGCCATGGGAGAGGATCGAAGAAGGGGAAAAAAAATGGCTGATACCAAGTTGGAAGATGTAATATTCACCGTAAAAATCAGAGATGTATTGATCGACTATAAATAGTCTATGTACACTTCGTATCCGATAACTATCATTCTATCAATCGGTTTATACAATTAATTGTAATGCGAAATACAAGATACGTAAAGCAACTAAACTACTTAGATAATATCGTACAACAATACTATAATAACAAGTGGCGTAATGGATAATATCAACAAGATACTTGTGCGGCTTTGGTGGGGAGTTTGGTACGTGCGCATGTATCATGCATGTTACCATGCATGTACATGTAAGTGTCATACTAGCAAATTAATATGCCTAACAAATAGCAACCATTCTCGCTAGTGCTAATAAAGTATTCTCCTTAATGACGTTGGGCCTAGGAAAAAGAGCATCTCTCGGTTAAGGATAGCTGGAGAGGATACTAGGATAGTGTCTAGTAATATAATGAATGGATGATATGGAAAAAGCTTGTGAATTGAATGCCTATGAACGAAGGAAAAGGAAGTAGGGCTGGCCGAGATGAATATTCCGAGATTAGAGTAAAAAAAGTGAAGGTGACACGCAGGGATGGATAGACTGAGGATGTTTTTATTTGATTTGTAATTTGTTGGTCTGATCTGGTAATGTCTGGTCATTGTGTATTTTATAACTATCCAGATCTGATCTGATCTAGTTTGTCCTGGTCTGGGACTGAAAACAGTCCAAGTAATAACACTATGAGAGTATGAGTCTCGCTTAATTTTAATTCCTTTTAATTATAGTACGTAGTATTATTTTATTTTGTTTCGATTTTTATTATAAGAAAATGTGTTGTTCGGGTGCACTGTGAGTAAACGTTCTGTGATTAGAATGTAATGAGGTTCTGATCTTCGAACTAATCTTCAAAATTCTCACAAGATTAACAATTCGTTTTGCTTATCTAATCAAGGAGTGGTGGGATTTTTTTATTGTTGCTCTTTGTGAATTAATTAGTTTATTAAGAGCAAACTTGCCCCGTTTCGTTTTAGATCGGTTCAGTAAGAATAAACATTATCCCGTTTTGAGAACACGTTAATCAATTCGGGATTTTAGCCAAAATATTTCATTTATTTGGGATTTTATTTTGTTACATAGAAATTTTATGGCTATCTCCATGAAGTCTATGAGTATTCTATTTTGAATCAACCCACACTTATATGCATGTTATGTTGGTGTCTATCTATTTTTGTGTGCATATATAATTAGGGGAGTAATGAAAACTAGTCATTCACTACAAAAAAACAACGATTTTGGCACGGATTAGGCAGAGAGTTTTGGCACAGATTTGCCAAATTCATAGGGTATTTGGCACGAATTTGACACGGATGCGTCAAATCCGTGCCAAATTCCGTGCCAAAGTCGTTTTGTCACCAACTATTTGGCACGACGCTGTGCCAAAAATAAGTTACGGTCTATGCCAAAGTCGCCTAATCCGTGCCAAGTCCGTGCCTATTTCGATGTTTTTTTGTAGTGATTTCATAATTAAAATTGAAGAGCCCGTTTGGTAATAGTCAAATCGACTGTATTGGCTGATTCTGTTGAAATTTATGAAGTTCTGACTGATGGGACTGTATTGGCTGAGCCTGCTGATTTGTGAAAAATAATAATTTAAAATTCATTTTGTTAATAAAATAAAGAAAGAATTATATGAAAAATAGCTACAATGAACTTCTACAGTACCTTAAGCCAATACAGTCAGAAAAGTAACTTCAACCTTACTTTTTCTTATTATTACACAATTTAGCCCGTAAAACCAAAATTTACATTTTTGATGAAAATGTTGACTTATAAGTTCGAAAGCCAAAAATCATGACTAGCAAACGGGCACCAAATATAACAAGCACTTTCATCAGCTAAAAGTATCATGGTAAAAATCATAAATATGAGACATTTTAGCCCGGGACGTTTGATCATATAGATTACTTCGTAAACATAAAAGTGCAATGTCTTCTTATTACCTGAAATATGATTAAAAATGTTTGAAAATTCCAAAATATGACTGTCATGTTTCTATTCCCAAAATAGTTACTATCATGTTTTGGCAGTACCAGACTTCAAACATGATTGTATTTTTCAAACTTGGTAGTAATTACTCTTACTTTGGGAATAAAAAACATGACAATCCTATTTTAGAATTTTCAAACATTTTTAATCCTATTTCGATAACTTTCCCCTTCAAATACTACGTATATCACAACACTTCTCTGTTAGGATGTTTTTACTTGGACTGTAATTTGTCCCAGACCAGACCAGACCAGTTCAGACCAGACCAGACCAGACTTGAATAGTTATAAAAATACAAAGAACCCAGACCTTACCAGACCAGACCAGACCAGACCAGTTCAGACCAGACCAGATCAGCAAATTACCGTCCAAGTAAAAACATCCTTAATGTAAATTTTCTTTTAGATGGATTTCATGAAATAGGCAAATAGGTCCAACTAAAAGGGTATTTCCGGGAAAACGCAAACAGATGGACTTTTAGTTGACTACTACGTATAATTCACTGTTAAGTTCAATGGTGCACTTTTTTATGCTGACCATGTTGACCATCTTGTTTTATCCAATTTGCGGTTGTTGGCGTAGCAATCTAGAATTAAACGTTATACGGAGTATCTCATATTCAATATTTTAGATTAACAATATTTTTATTTGGATTGTTTTCAATCTTAAATCAAATCAGACTAGATCAAATTAGACCATACTATACCACATCATACTTGAATAGTTATAAAATACACAAGGACAAGCATTTACCACCAGACCAGATTAGATCAGATCAAACCAATCCAGACCAGTCCCATCCAGATCAGACCAGAAAATTTCAGTCCAAGTAAAAACATCATAATTACATATGCCTAAAAAATGTTACACCGTTACATACACGTACATATATGCGTATGGTTATATGGTGCAGGACCGAATTAGGATGTTTTAGATGGACTAAAATATTATGCTCTAGTCTGATCTAATTTTAATAGATTTGATCTGCTTTGATAGATATTTGGTCTTTATGTATTTTATTTGTTATTGTAGAAATATGGTCATGTATGATTTGGTTTGATCTGGTCTGATCTGAGAATAAAATAAATTCAAGTAAAAAAATCTTTAAGGGCGCGAGTGACCTCTCATTGGACATTCAAATTATTCTATAATATAAGTAATTAATATGTTTGTAAAATTTTAATTTCTTCCTTTCGTTTTCAAAATTAATATATAAATTTACATAATATAATGCTTGTGTGTCCAGTGTGTGTATGTTTAGCTGATTTTGATAGGCATTTACATGTAAAATGTCATTTAACGATTGTGTGTCCAGTGTGTGTATGTTTAGCTGATTTTGATAGGCATTCTTTTTCATGTAAAATGTCATTTACATGACTTTTTAAGGAGGTATACACCTTCGTTAAACAAATCACAAGATAAACTGAAAAGATTAAAAAACAAAAAAGGTACGCAGAGTTCGTCCTCTTGTGACGCTGCATGTGCCCCAATTATATCCACCATATGCATGCTCCATTTTAAACTTTAAATGGATAGAATTGTAGAAAGAAGGTATAGAATAACATTATAAAGGACCATAACATTGTGAAAATTAAATTCCTCAGTAACAAGATGATGCACTCAAGTTTCTTCTCTTATTTGAACCCCTGCCCAAAGATCCTCATGTCTCGACCCGACATGACGTATAATTGGATGTTAATCACGGAAACATAATGAATTCAATAATGATAAACCTTGTATTTGTACACACCAGAGACCCAATGTAACCTAGCATATAAGAACTGTAACTTTCAGATGGCGCACTGTGGGTTTCGATTTTGAATCGTTTCTTCAACTTTCTCATCACTCTACCAATTGAGCTATTCGTGCGGGTTATCTTTCCTCTTATTTATTTATTTGTTTAATTTGAAATGATGTAGTGTGATTGATGTCTTGTGCTTCCACTTGGAGCCAGAGCTCACAGTGGGACAAGGGCGACAATATTGTAAGCAGTAGATTATGAATTATGTATGTGGAAGCTTTCCCTTGCAAATGACTTCCAAATATGGCAAGTGGAACGCTATAATAATGATATTTATGGTGTCGACTGTCGAGTCTAATAACTTCCTTATTCGGGATCAATTATATTCACTATTCTTCTAATTATGGTGTCGACTGTCGAGTCTAATTATTTCATAAAAAATAGGTAAAACGATAAAAAAAAAACCTCGCTCCTATGTTTAGAAATCAATTAAGCTCTTGATACGATGGTACATAAAGTTTGGATACCGCTAAGAACATCTCCAGTGGTAAAATGTGCACGGTGCACACCTGGCATGAAAAATAGCCACATAAATATTAGTAAATAAATTCTTTCTCTCCTTATTTAAATGATTTTATACAGTTTTGGTAAGTTTTTCTCCACACTGTCAAGGAGACCGTCTAGATGTTGACATTGTTGTTGACATTGCAGGGAAAAACTTACCAAAATTGTATAAAATCATTCAAATAAGGAGAGAAATAATTTATTTGCTAATATTTATGTGGCTATCACTCATGCCACATGTGCACCGTGGACATTATAGCATTGGAGATGCTCTAAGTGTGTTATTTAACAGATTTATATTCAAAAATTGCCCTAAATAGGAGTAAAATCGTTTTGAAATTCCAAAATAGGACTATCATATTTTTTTATTCCGCGAATCAGAGTAATCTTCCAAGTTTGGAAAAAAATGTCATGTTTAAAGCCTAGTAATGCCAAACTTGACATAAATTTATTTCTATTCAGGAAATAAAAAACATGATAGTTCTATTTTGGAATTTCTAAACGTTTTTATCTCTATTTAGGGAATTCTCTCATTAGTATCTGGTTAAAAGGATAAAAAATCGAAATAATGGCCTAGATATTACAAATAGAGTTTGTATGTACAAAAATGTTATCCGTTTTTATCTTGGACGAAAAAGTGACTTAAGAGGGTGTAGAATGTCTCAACTACCCCAATATAATTCATCGGCCTTCTCAACCCTAATGTCAATCAAACTCCACCCGTAACCTCCAACCAACGA